ATATAGATATGTATTTGCAAATATTGTTTCTTAAAAGAAGAAAATATATTTAAATAACTAAAAGTAAATGCACTGTTGCATTAATATCATCCCATCAAAATCTTATTTAAAACCATATTCTTTGCAAAGAGAATCCAATTTCTAGTTTTTTTTAAAAAAGAGAGATTACATTAAGCATTTTGCCTTATTTTATTTATTATAAACTGAAAAATCAAAGACCCAGTCAACACAAAAAAAGGAAATAAATGTAAGGATTTATTTTTTTCATAGGAAATAAATCTCTATAATATTATTTGAGAAGTCACTTTCTTATGTGTCGCGTTCACATTAACTCCCACTCTGGTTGATTACTATGATACCCTTAATAAATTTAATAAATACGTTTAAATATTATTATTTCCTTTTAAAAAATTTCCAAATAACAATATAAAATAAAAAGGAAACATTTATAAAGTTTACAAATCTATTTAAAAACGAAATCTCTATAATATTATTTGAGAAGTCAGTTTCCTACGTGTCGCTCTCATGTTAACTCTCGCGATGGTTGATTACATAGATACCCTTAATGAATTGTTAGATTTTAACATTCTTATTAATTTGTTTTATTTAGTTTCTTTTTACCTTTTTCCAAAAAGACATATAATGAAAAGGAAATATTTTAAAAATTTTAAAACAAAATTTAAAACGAAAATATATGTATATAATATGACTTTATTAAAAAGGAAAATTCATAAAATAGTAATATCTCCATTAATATATGCTTTTAAATAACATAAAATATATTTTCAAAATAATAAATATATATATGTTCATAATTATTTGAGAAGTCAGTTTCCTACGTGTCGCGCTCACGTTAACTCTCGCGATGATTGATTACATAGATACCCTTAATGAATTGTTAGATTTTAAGATTATTATTAATTTTTTCATTTAGTTTCTTTTTTACCTTTTTCCAAATAACATATATCATAAAAAGGAAATATTTCTAAAATTTTAAAACAAAATTTAAAACGAAAATATATGTATATAATCTGACTTTATTAAAAAAGAAACTTCACAATTAGTAATATCCCTATTAATAGATACTTTTAAATAACATAAAATGTATTTTTAAAATAATAAAAAAATTATGTTCATGAACATTCAAAAATTTATCAGTTACACTTTATTTTCTAATATTTTTAGACATCACATATAATTTGAAAAATATTATGAAAATACATATATATTTAAGCGATAAATAAAATTAATCTGATTTAAATTAACTAAAATAAAGAGTAAATAAATATTATGAAAATACAAATATATTTAAGTGATAGATAAAAACTAATTTAATTTGACTAAAATAAAATAAAAAATAATTATACTTCAATTTTAATTTAAAAATATATTTAACTCAATATACTCACAAAATGAATGGCTCGACCAATCTGATTTATATCCAAAACTAGACATCTAACTATAATAAGAACATATAATTTTATAATAATAATAATAATAATCTATTTAATTTTATACATATAAATTAGATGTTGACTCAAATCATATTAAAAAGAAAAAGAAAATGCTAACCAATTACAATTTAATTCTTTTGTAGAATTTGTATATATGCATGAGACTTCAAAATATTATCATTATATTCATTTATGTAATTTTGGATCAAATACTTCAGCTTATTATTTATTTCATTTTAAGCACAATATATATAAAGTTATACATAATTTAACTATAATATATTTATATATCTAAGAATATATTTACATATCTAAGTCAATAACCAACCGAAATGAAAATAAGGAAATTAACCACAGTTTTATTATATTTAGAATAAAAAATACTATAGCTGAATTCGAAAAACATATATTATCCAATATACCAAAAATTGATAATCAAACCGACTATTGATCCAAAAAATAATTAAATTGACAATAATATATCTAAAATCATATGTATAAATAATATGTATAATTAATAGAATATAATATTTATTAATATAAATTATACATATAAATTTATTCAAAATTAAAAAAAATATTAATTAATTATTATAGAATTGTACTTTTATGAATATTTATATCCGTGCATGAGCACGGGAAAATCACCTAGTATAAGTATATATAAGTATATATAAATATGGTTTCATAAAAAAGGAAAGTTCACAAAATAGTAATATTTAATTTAAATATATTTTAAATAACATAAAATATACTTTTGAAGTAATAAAATAATTTATATCTATATATTCTTAGATGAAAAACAATATTTGGATATAATGTGATTCCATAAAAAATTCACACAACTAATCTTGATATTAGAAAAAGAAATATTTTTTTCTTTAAAAAAAATAATTTTAAACAATAAATATACATATTTTTTCAAATTAATCATTATTTTTGTATATATCTATCTATTTTATTGTATGATTACATAAAATAATTAAGTAAGATAAACTAACGTATGTTTAATTGACAAAAAAATTTACAATTATATTCTTGAAATATTTTTTTATTTTTAGTATATTTATTTGACTATAATATCTTACAATTACAGCAAAAAAAAAGATAAATTCTATTTTACTTATATAATATAATTTTCAAAAACAATAAATTTTTTTACTGCATATTTTAAGAGATATTAAAAACAAAACTAAAAATAAAATTTAATAATAAACATTGTTTTATCAAATAACTACAATTATTTTAAAACATCATAACACTATATAATTTAACAAAGTATATATATTATATAATAGTTAGATTTATATGTTTGCTTAATAATTCTTTGGATTTTTTATTTTCTGTTTTTATGTTTGTGGAACTTAATATAACCATAATCAAAATACTTAAGCAAATCAGAATCTTTATTTTAAAATTATTTAAAATAAATTTCTTTTTACCATCCAATCAATCTAAATATTGTAAATATTGATATGTGTTCATAAGCTTCGAAAAATTTATTAGTTACGCATGTATGTAACTTAGAATCAGACAATTTAGTTTCTATTTTTTTTCTTTCTAAGCATAAAAAATCTTAAGTTATACATACTCTTACTAGATATACTTATATTTTTAAAATAACAATCAGCATAAATGCAAATAAGACGATTAATCAAAAATTTAATATATTGAGGATAAAAAAAATTATAGTTGAATTTAGAAAAATAGATAGAATCTAATATATCCAAAAGAGAGCTAAATAAACCGTAAAAACAATAAAACTGATGAAATATAACATATCTAAAATTATATATATTATTAAATTAATATAACATTATTAATACAAATTATACCTACAATATACCAAATTGATAACCAAACCGACTACTGATCCAAAAAATAATTAAACTGACAATAATATTTATTAACATAAATTATACATATAAATTGATTCAAAACTAAAATTAAATATAAATAAATTATTATAAAATTTTACTTTTATGAATATTCATATCCGTGCATGAGCACGGGAAAATCACTAGGGGAGGCCCGCGCTGCGCGCGGAATGTGATTTATGTGTAGAGAGTTTAAATATAATTTTTAGCTGTATTGATTATTTTTTAGTTTCAGAGATTTTTTTTTTTTTTTTTTTTTTGAATTTATGAGTCTTTGAGTTTGACTATTTAGTGCTACTATTTTTGTTTGTTAGTGTGCTTTTGTGCCTGTGTTGTGTCATTTGATCTATCGGTTTAGTATGGTTGTAGTTGTGACCTCTGGGGATTGACTTTCTCGGTGTTGTGGTTCGTTTGAGAATCCTAGATGTTCGAGATGTTTTGACTGAAACTCCTGCAGCTTGGGAAATAAAAAACATGTAGAGGAGAGTAAACGTTATGACTTAAACTGTAGCGTACAACATGAAAATTACTCAGAAAGTGTGATTTTTATAACTAATAATATAGAGTACTCAAAAGCTTATCAGCGATCGATCATGTGAGGCCTATAGGAATTAAGGAATAAGAACCTGAGCTAGCGGCAGATGTAACGTGATGATGGTTATCTCTATCAGCTCCAACGGGGGAGAGAGTCTGGTACTGCCATCAATTATCTGGCCACTATCAGTCTCTGGAAGAGAAGGGGGAGAAGAACTCATAATCACGCAAGAGAGAAAAGATTGAAATGAAGATGAGAGTTGTGTAATAAAACAGAGGTTTACAATAAGTCTCATTACAATGCGTCGAACATTTAATTAACAGTTACAGGACAAAGCTGGATGGTAAAGTGATAGGTCATACACATTATTTAGCAGAGTGATGGCCATTAAACCTTTAATGTATCTTCGTATTTAACGGTCTAACATCGTATGCAATTAAGATATGTTCTTAGCTTCCTTTTCAGAGTTGGTAATCACACGTATTTAGCGTGTAAGAGAAGATGTCTCTCTTCTGTCACTACATGATCAGGCGTGGTGCACCATATTAGAGGTTTTATATACATGTGGGCACAATAACCCGTCAAATTTTCTGAGCTATGTTGAGCGTGTGGAGCTTGGAGTGTACGTGTGTTAGAATAGTATACTCTGTTTTTAAAAATTAGTAGCTAGACAGTTAATGGAATAATTTTCAACTGCTCCTATGTGCGTAACATTAAAAGCGGTGTATCGGCTCCAGCCTCACCATCAGGCACGGGTTGTCTTTCATGATTAGACAGTTTCCTTGTATTTCAAGTTAGCCACAGAGTGGACATTGTAGGTTTAGGACAGTTATTACTTATTAGTTTAAGTGGTCTGTTGAAGCCCATACAATCACGAATTCTAATATATTTTAGCTCTTCATAATTTAATTGTCTAAAACAATTTTCTTAAATATTATAGGATTCAGAAGTGCTTCGATTCCAATACGAAATGCACTGCTATTTACGTAATGAAACTTGGACCAACTGGACTTTTTATTAAAAGATATAAGTTTGAAGAGATTTTCCTAAAACGTCACAACACACCATTAATTATAAATGACTTGGAGAATATATATTTTAACTACTGATAATTTGCTTGTGTATAACTGTTTTAAAAAAAAAATTAATGCAATCATTGGTACAGGAACTATTAGATTCCAATAAGAAATGTATTGCAACGAAACTTGTACCAAATGGGACTTTATTTGAAATATTAAAAGTTGCAAAAACTCGGAAACAACGATAGAACACACCAGTCACTGTAAATGTCTTAGAGAGTGTCTTTAATAAAACATAAAACCATGCAGAAAATAGTACTTTAAAAAACCAAAGACCCAGTTCAACCATACTCCAAACTAAGCGATACGGGCCTTCTTCACCACCTCAAGGCTGGAGCTTCCCAGCTGTTCAGGCGCATCATCAGTGTAAGTTCCTGCAACATGAGGGTCCGTCTTGCTGGTGCTCGCTCCAATCTCCACATTAACAGGACCCACTTCGCCGCCAGTGTTATTGTCTCCTTCACCATTGTTGCCTCCCTGAAACAATGAATTGGTTCTCAGATCATAAATACGTACAAATGTATTTAAAATGTCTACATACATTGTTGCAGAAGTCCGGCTGTGGAACACGTTCACCCTCGCTGATGATACGCGTGATAGTGAACGTCTTGTGGTTAGGAGTGAAGTTATACGCACTGACCCTAACTTGGAAAGTGTATATCTTCCCGGCCATATCTCCAATGATCTCAGGCAGCTGTGTTTCTTCTGGGTTTACATCATCTGCAGCCTGTTTAACAAATAAATTAGTTTGATATATATGGCAAATTTAATATATGACCAAGTAGTATAGTGTGTGGTTACCAGCATCTGAGCTACATCGGCAGCTTTGAGGCTAAGCAACTTTGACATGACACCATCAAAACATACGAACACACCCTCTCCACTATTATCCGATATGGACATCTCAACACGATAGCTAAAGCAACAAAACACCATATCAACAAACAATCAGTATGTCTATTACAGTACGTGGAAAGCAAGGAAAGAAGGTGGTGTTATACGTACCGGAGAGAGCCAACAGCATGAGAAGTGTCACACTCCCTACAGGTGAAAGAAGAGACAATGCGTTCCAGTTTTTTAGCACACACAGAGCACGCAACGTAACACCAACCTTTCTCAACGTCAATGTGAGTCACTTGCCCAGTGCAGATGAAATCAATAACCTACCAATAACATTAATTAAATGATCAATGTCTGTGCTTAAGCTAAGAAGCGTGATCACAAAAATGCAGTAGGTATACCCGGGATGGAGAAGTCATGATAAAACTGTTGAGCTCAGCTATGGTTATGGGTTCCACCTTAGCATAACCTCTTAGAAGAGGTGCTGCGGGGGGAAGACCATTGTCTCTGGCGACCAACCTGTACATATACAAAAAAAATAATGTGAGATAAAGCATTTGGAGGCATGAGATTTGTACAATCCAGACACAGAATCTGTAGAAACAGGCTTCACCAGCGGTCGTTTCTTTGTCAAAGAGAAGATGGGTCCCTGAGGTAGCATTGAGAAACACCTTGAGAAACAAACGCCCTATGGGGGAAAAATTGTCATTTTCTTTATTCTTAATGAGAAACTCAACCTATCACGTAATATACTAATACAATATAATACCTCCAATCATCTTAGGGTTAATACTTGTAGCAACTACCACTCTTGGGTCATCTCACGCATTGCTTGGAGTCTGGTGTGGAAAGCTACAGCTTGAGAATCGAACAGGCTCAATGTAACAGACACATCACTATGGTGGGGGAAAAAAAATTAATCAGAACAGAAAACTATTGGAGTATGTTGTGAGGAAAGTAAGAGAAACAATTTAACTTACTTCTCCAATTTTATGGTCGCCATGACATGATTTTTAACTTCTGGTGGATCACTAACAGAACTCTTCACAGCTGTTAGTTCACCTACGATGTCTACAAACAAAATCAGTTAGAAATTTACTCTGAATAAATGATAGCATTTTATTCTCAATAAATGAATAGACATGAGTGCTTGTGTTAGCCAATCCAACCAGTTCCGTATGGTTACGAAACCGGAAGCCCTCTACAGGCAGTGGTGATACTGGTTCGGGTATCTCCTCGAACCGGGTTGAATCGTTGAACCGGATCATCAGATGCGAGTCGGTCAATCTGAAGTTTTGGGCACATCGGCAAACATCAAAACCGGAGATGGAAAACATCGAACCGGCACTCATTCTTGGCCGGAAGGTTGGAACACGATTAGCACCGAAGGAGGCTTGGATAATCTGCGACTGGAAAAAAAACAATGGAATCATTAGTCAAAGTCGGAATCTTGAATCCAAACAATTATTATTAAAAAAACAACGATGAATAAATCACTAACGAATTTCAGAATATGGAGAACAAACATATAAGGATGATTAAATCACTAATCAAATTCGAAATTTTAAAACTAAACAATTTTTAAAAAGCATGTAAAGAAATCATTAAACAAACTTCTAACATGAACACCAAACAGTTTAGGACAAACAGCTATAGATGAAGAAATAATTAAGCAAATCCGGAATCTGGAAACTAAACAATTTTAGAAAAGCATATAAAGAATTCATTAAACAAAATTCTAACATGAACACCAAACAGTTTAGGACAAACATCTATAGATGAAATAATTAAGCAAATCCGGATTGTGGAAACTAAACAATTTTAAAAAAGCATATAAAGAAATCATTAAACAAACTTCTANTTAGAAAAGCATATAAAGAATTCATTAAACAAAATTCTAACATGAACACCAAACAGTTTAGGACAAACATCTATAGATGAAATAATTAAGCAAATCCGGATTGTGGAAACTAAACAATTTTAAAAAAGCATATAAAGAAATCATTAAACAAACTTCTAACATGAACACCAAACGTTTAGGACAAACATCTATAGATGAAGAAATAATTAAGCAATTCCGGAATCTGGAAAATTAAAAATATACGGTTCTAGAAATCGAATCTCTTACATTGACATCAATCAGGAGCATGTCCACCCACATCAGCTCGCGACCGTGTTTCACGTTTCTTGCCTCCCAAAAACGGAGCAAACAGGCCTCTACAGTGGAAGGACACCGACCGGACTTCAAATCGGAGAAAAAGACCTAGAGTTAGCCATTTGAGAGGATACTTTGAGATGAGAGAGGTGAGAATGATTTTTCTGATACCATAGCATACTTTTTTTTTTTTTTTTTTTGAAACATATACCATAGCATACCTATTTATACAAAATAACTGGCCGACTGTGTGAAGCAATAGGGATTCGTAGAAGAGATCGTGGGTGATGAGTAAATGTAATGATCAATGATCCTAACGTCGAGAAAGCCAAAAGACGCCATGGAAGCTCCTGGAGTTTTTTTTCGGCGGCAACAAAGATAGGGGATAACCCTAATCACTTTCATCGTGTTAGGCAGAAAACAGAATGGGCTGGACTTTATTTTGAAACGAATCAGGCCCATATGAAGTTAGAAGCCATTACTCAATCGACAGAAAGAAATGATAACCTTTTTTAGTTAGCTACTGACGTGGCACTCTAAGATGATAGAAAACCTAACTTTATAGTAATAGATATTATTAATATTTATATATAATTTATTTATAAATAAAACGAATTTATATGAATATATCATATTTTTAGAAAATAAGATAATTCTTGTGAATTATGTTGTTATCTTGAACTATATTTTATATATAAAAATTAAATATTAAATTAATATATAAAAATATTATATTTATTATATAATTAAAACGAATTTATATTAATAATTTTCTATTTTTGTAAAATAAGATAATTCTTATGTATTATGTTGTTATGTTAAAAATATATTTTTGTATTATTAACTTAAAACTAAGATATAAATCATCAAAAATTTATTTGAAAAGTGAATTTGTTGATTTGTCTCCATAATCCTATGTAATTTTGACTATTTATCAGAATTTCTCTAATTTTGTTTATTATTGACTATATAATTAAACTAATTTATATTAATAATATGATATTTTATAAAATAAGTTGATTCTTATGTATTATGCTGTTATCTTGAAAATCTATTTTTCTATTATAAATTTTAAAATTAACATGTAAAAATCTATACTATCTATACTATTATATAAAAAGTAAATTTGTTTAGTTGTCAACTTCTCCTTGATCTTAGTTAAATTTGTTTATTTTCCTGGTTTAAATACTTTCATATATAATTTGTTATTTAACAAAACAAATTTATATTAATAATATTATAATTTAGAAAATATGTTGATTATTTTGTATTAAATTGTTATCTTAAAAATATATTTTCTATTATAAAATTTATGTGAATTTACTGATTGATTTGTAATTTCTCCATGAGTTTTGTAATTTTGCTTATTTTTTATATTTTTAATAATTTTATGAATAATTTATCTTATAATAAAACGAATTTCTCTTAATAATATTATACTTCTAGAAATAAGATAATTCTTATGTATTATATTGTTATCTTTAAAATATATTTTCTTATCACAGAAATTAAAAATTAAGTTAGAATACTAATAGTTAAATATAAAGAAAGCAATTTCTCCATGGTTTTATATTTTCTTATTTATCATATTTTAATAATTTCATATATAATTTATTAAATAATAAAAAGAATGTATACTAATAATAATAGATTTGAAAAAAATAGGATAATTCTTATGTATTAAATTGTTATCTTGAACTTATATTTTCTATTAGAAAATTTAAGTGAATTATCTGATTTGTAATTTTTCCATAATTTAGATAATTTTTCATATTTTCATATTTTTAATAATTTCATATAAAATATATTATAAAATAAAAACGATTTTCTATTAAAAAAATATTATGAGAAAATAAGATACTTCTTATGTATTATATTGTTGATAATATATTTTTTATTATAGAAATAAAAAAAATTAAGATAGAAAAAATTATAATTAAAATAAATTAAAGCAATACATTTGTAAAAATGTATTTTAAAACATAATTAAGAACTTATTATATTGATTTGAATTAATAAAATTTAGACTAATAATAAATTGTACGAAAATTATTCCTCGCATGTGCAGGCAAAACAGCTAGTTATTTAAAGAGTGATTTGATGTTTGCTGATTTGTCATATTTTCCATAATTTTAGATAATTATGATAATTTATCATAATTTCTATATTTTCTATATAATTTATTATATATTAACAAACAAATTATATGAATAGTATCAGATTTTTAGAAAATAAGACACTGCTTATATATTAAGTCGCTGTCTGTTGAAAATATAATTGAAATAAATTTATACTAATAATATTATAATCTTGGAAAATAAGGTAATTCTTATGTATTATGTTGTTATCTTGAAAATATATTTTTATATTATATAATTTAAAGTAAATTAGAAAAATTATCTATTATTAATTAAATATAAATCATCACTCAAGAAAAAATATTTGAAAAGTGAATTTGCTGATTCATTAAGTTCTCCATGATTTTAGGTAATTTTACTTATATTTCATAATTTCTATCAGTAATTAAAGATGACACATCAGTGAGAAGAGGAAGCAATAACTAATCATCTTTCCAAAGCTTTTGTATTATCATGCATGATACAAATTACTACTCATCATGCATGACACAAAATATTGTAATATAAAAAAATTGTAAGTGATGGCTTGTAATAAAAAATAATTTAAAATTTAGAATACTACCCATTACGTAGATACAAAATATCGATGTATCATATATATGTACATTTGGTTTTAATTATTTGAAACCCTGGTTTACATCTACAACAACATTTGTTTTGGTACGGAGGACCGTTAAGGCACAACAGGAATGTTGGATCTACCCCAGGGTCTTTCCTGCATCAGTTTCTGCAGTCGGCATTAGTTTTGCATGGGCCTAGGAACAGACATTCGGCTGAAAATATATTTGGAACAAACAATCAGGATTAGTTAATTTTATCTAGCATTTTTTATATTAATAAAATATTACCAGATGATTGAGAAAACTGAAGAGAAGCAATGAAGAAAATGAAAAACAGAGATGTAAACTCAGACTTTTGTGCATACATTTCTTTCTAGCTCTTAAATTTATGTATTTTTTTTTTTGGGTTTAGAGCAAATGGCACTCCCCTTTTATATAGATATGTATTTGCAAATATTGTTTCTTAAAAGAAGAAAATATATTTAAATAACTAAAAGTAAATGCACTGTTGCATTAATATCATCCCATCAAAATCTTATTTAAAACCATATTCTTTGCAAAGAGAATCCAATTTCTAGTGTTTTTTAAAAAGAGAGATTACATTAAGCATTTTGCCTTATTTTATTTATTATAAACTGAAAAATCAAAGACCCAGTCAACACAAAAAAGGAAATAAATGTAAGGATTTATTCTTTTCATAGGAAATAAATCTCTATAATATTGT